GAAAAAACAAACCTGTTCTGCTAATGACAGATTTCATTTTTAATGTCATTAGTGTGATTTTGCCCATAGTTACAATTTGGTGCCAACGTTGTAAAATTTCCAGGGAGAAGAAGTTTTCTTTACAAACTTTCCACCAAAAAGAGATGTGTGCACTCAGAGTGATTATTGTGAACCCAATCAGAGGAATGTCAGTCCCCCGGAAGAAGTGGTAGGAATATGGACCGCACACTCAGCACACTTTGTAAGTTCAGATCTCTGGCAGTTGTATTGTGTGATTAGTTAATGGAGAGGGAGTAATAGCTGGAAAAGAGAAAAGCCATGGAACAAGGATTTCTGATCTTCACCTGATGGAATCCCATTTGGCAGAACCGCATGTGAACACAAGTGGCCAGCTGGGCTTACGTTTTACTGCTGAATACATCCCCTAAATCAGCAGTAACTCAGTATTGGAAGGCCTGCATCAGCTATGGGAATGTTTGTTTTCTCACTGAACAGAGACTTCTTTCTAGCTGGTGTCACAGCCGCAGGACCTGCCTGGAAAAGTTGTCACCCATGAGATGATATCCTACAACCTCACAAACACCCACTTTCCTCTCTATGATCCCAATCTCATCACCTTCACAGTCCCCTCATCTTCAAACACTTATCCCTCCAAGCAGCAATCACCTGCAGAAACATTCACAACCTGAACCCTTCTCATTCCCTATACCTACACTCTGCAACTGACCAACTCTATGACAGAATCTTCCCCTTCCTGCCCTGACCCTGTCCTTGCCACTGCTGTCTACATCAGTTCACTTTCTGATATTTAGACTCAACTTACTCCTCTAACAACACGAAGCATCAGGCCCCGACCATTACAACCTTGGCAGACTGATAACACCAGAGATCTTAAACGACATAGTCGTGTGCTGGAGCGAATGTGGCGTAAAACCAAATCTCACCAAGCATTCACCCGATATAAATCTGCTTTCTTCACATACAATTCCTCCCTCCATGCTGCCAAACAAGCCTACTTTGTCACTCTCTCATCAATGCACCTTGTCATCGCCAGTCCTCGTCGTCTCTTCTACTTCTCAACTCCAACTTTCCAACCAACCTCCACCCCCACCCAGTACCTCACTCACTGCTCACGAGATTGCAAATAATTTCAAAAACAAGATTGATGCAATTCATAGGGGCATCGCCACTGCACAGACCTCCATCCCACTTAGCATCACCTTATACTAAACCTCCCTCAACACTGTTCCTCTTTTGAACCTTGTTACTACAGAAGACCTCACTAGGTTCTCTCAGAAGCCCGTCTCACTACCTGCCCCCTGGACTTCCTGTCCCCTCACAACTACTACGGTCACCCACTTCTTCCATCTACCTACGCTCCCTCACTCACATCTTCAATCTCTCCCTCTCTATTGGTGCTTTCCCCCTCCCCTCTAAAGCATGCGCACATCACTCCCATACTTAAAAAACCCTCCCTGGACCCCACCAACCTTAACACATTAAGACCCCATCTCCCTGCTGCCATTTACCTCTAAACTCCTAGAACGCTTAGTCTACAATCACCTGAGATCCCACCTCACTGACACAACAACCTTCTTGACCCTTTACAGTCTGGCTTTCCCTCACTACACTCCACTGAAACTACCCTACTAAATCACTCACTAATGATCTACTAACTGCTAAAACCAATGGTCACTACTCCGTACTCATCCCAACCTATGGCTACTACTCCGTACTCATACCCCAACCAATGGCCACTACTACTCCGTACTCATCCCAACCAATGGCCACTACTCCGTACTCTACAACAATTGCCACTACTCCGTACTCATCCCAACCTATGGCCACTACTCCGTACTCTCCCAACCTATGGCCACTACTCCGTACTCATCCCAACCTATGGCCACTACTCCCACTACTCATCCCAACCAATGGCCACTACTCCGTACTCATCCCAACCAATGGCCACTACTCCGTACTCATCCCAACCAATGGCCACTACTCCGTACTCAATCCCAACCAATGGCCACTACTCCATATCTTACTACTTGACCTCTCTGCGGCTTTTGATACTGATGACCAAATCCCTCCTCAAAAAACTCCACTTTCTTGGCCTCCCAAGATTCCTCTCTCTCGTTCTCCTCCTACCTATCGCAGAGCTTGTTGAGCATTACCTATAACTCTGCCGCCTCCTCTTCACTCCCAACTTTTTGTAGGGGTCCCACAATGGTTCCGTCCTTGGACCCCTACTCTTCTTCCATCTACACCTCCTCCCTTGGTCACTTGATAAACTCCCATGGCTTTAAGTACCATCTGTGACGGGAGTGACTTTTGGGGATGGGGGGACCTCTGTATCATCTCCCAAATTCCCATTATGTTTAAGGCACCCTGTGCCTGTTAAGGGTTACAGGGTGTGTATTGAATGTCTGAGTCTTGTGTATAGTGTGTGTTCCTTTGTCTAAGCCACATGGCTGCCCATTGTCTGTTTTGCCATGTGCTACCCCCCCCATTGTGCTGTGTCTTCCTGTCCAGCCAACTATTATGGGGATGTACTGTTTGTGTATTGGTGTGGGGGTTGGTCAATGTCCTTTGCCGCATGGCTGCATCCCATGTTCTGTGTCTTGGGTTGGTTGGGGTGGTTCCCTGTAGCCCTTCCCACTGATAGGGCGGGCTGATGATGTATTTCCTGTTCCTGGTTGTTTCCCCGCCTCTGTATATATTCTGTGTTTTGTGTTTAAAATAAAGAGTTGGCTTTCTGTTTTAAGAGCTGGGTGCTCGTCTTTTTCCTGAGGGATTTCAGGTGTGGTACACCGTGGATGTGTGTTCGGACAGGGGAAGCTGCAGGAATAACGGAATATACCCAAGTGCGTACGTCCCAATACCGGTTCCGTTACATACCATCTCTAGTGCTGATGACACACAAATCTATCTTCTCTAACCCTCACGTCATCACCACGTTCAGTCTCCTCACTCACCTCACCCCTCACAACACCACTTCAGTCTTCCTCGCAGTTACTTACCTACTAAGCGATTCATATTGGTATGGATGTCACTCCACTCTCCTCAAACTCAATCTTTCCAAAACTGAGCTCTTAGTATTGCCCCCTAACCCGTGCCCCCCCCCCCCCGACTTATCCATCTAGATCCATAACACAATCATCAGTCCCTCCCTCATGCCAAGGATTCTAGGTGTAATCCTAGACTCCCATCTGTCCTTTCAGTCCCAAATCCAATTACTGTCCAAATCTTGTAGACCTCAACCTCCACAACATCTCCAAGATAATGACCGTTCCTAACCCCGGAAATCACTAAGCAACTTATTTCACACACTCCCTGGTATATCTCGCCACCTTGACTAATGTAAACTCCCTCCACCATTGGCCGACCTCACGCAGTGGCTATCCCCTCTTCAGTCTATCATGAATGCTGCATCGTCAGATTCATCCACCTACTAACCATTCTGTATATAGCTACCCCTCCTCTGCCAATCCCTCCACTCAGTGTCCTCAACCACCCCTCTCTGCTGCCAATCCCTCCACTGGCGTCCAGTGTCCTCCACCCCCCTCTGCCAATCCCTCCACTGGCCTCCATTCCATTCAGTGTCCTCCACTCCCTCTCTGCCAATCCTTCCACTATCTTGCTTCCCCATTGCCCAACGGATTAAAATTCAAAACATTAACAATAACATATAAAGCCATTTATAAACTCTGCCCCCAAATTACATCACACAATGTTTTTCTCCAAAATATCACCCAAACCGTACTCTCCACTCCTCGCACGACCTCCTGCTCTCTAGCTCCCTTGTCTCCTCCTCCCATGCTCAGTCTCCAGGACTTCTCCAGAGCTTTCCCCATCCTCTGGAACACTCTACAACCCCAATTTATAAGACTATTGCCTACTCTGCTCACTTTTAAGGTAATCTACTGAAAACTCTCGCTCTTCAGGGAAAGCCTATCCTGCCCTCAACTAATAATTGAATCTTCTATTCTTCCTACCAGTCCATCCCCACAGTTTACTACCTTTTGAACCACTAGCCCCCCTCCCTCCTAGACTGTAAGCTCCAAGGAGCAGGGCACCTCCTATCCCGTTTTGTATTTTAACTGTATTGTTGCAGTATTGTCTGAGCAAACTGTTGGCGCGACTATATAAAATCCTGTATATTAATGAGAGGAGATGAAATAGTGGAAAGAAAGGCATTGATAATGGGAGAAGGAGATGGAACATGTACTGGGAGGAGTGGACAAGGTGGGCTTAGCTGGAGACCTCAAGCCTGGCTGATCATGTATCAATAGTCAGAAGAACCTGGAATGGACTCTCCCACTGAGGCTTCAGAGACTTGGTAAGATGACCCCATCTAGTCTCTGGTACTGAGGCAGTGCTGGTCATGTAATTACCTCAGGATCCAGAAATGAAGAAAATGCTTGGAAACACAACTCAGTTGTGTGACTGAATCATGAAAATGCATTTTGCATGTTCATTAAAGCTCCATAAAAAAGATAAAGATTGAGAATCATGAGGAAGCCTGTTCAGTTATTCCTTTTTTCCAGAATTTAATCTATGCTGAAATTTGTGGAATCCTCCGAGGTGATGGATTAGATCGGCCATTAACTGAAAAGTTATGTTTTTTTGTCACATTGAGAGCATTAAATAGGCTTCTCTCCATGTGAACCCTCTGGTGGCCTGAAAAGATCTGACTTCACTTTAAAAGCATTTGTCACATTTCAGAACACTGATATGGCTTCTCTCCAGTGTGAATCCTCTGGTGTCTGATAAGATCTGACTATCTGAGCTAAAAAGCTTTATTCAACATTTCAGAACACTGATATGACTTCTCTCCACAATGTGAAAACCTCTGGTGTGATAAGATGTGACTTCACTGTAAAAAGCTTTTATCACATTCAGAACACTGATATGACTTCTCTCCAGTGTGAATCATCTGGTGTGCAATAAGTTCTGACTTCTGTGTAAAAGCTTTTCACATTCAGAACACTGATATGACTTCACTCCAGTGTGAATCCTCTGGTGTCAGATAAGACTTGACTTATGTGAAAAGCTTTATCACATTCAGAACTACTGATATGACTTCTCTCCAGTGGTGAATTCCTCTGGTGTGTGTCGATAAGATCTGACTTCTGAGTAAACGCTTTATCATCACATTCAGAACACTGATATGGCTTCTCTCCAGTGTGAATCCTCTGGTGTTGATAAGATGTGACTTCTGAGTAAATGCTTTATCACATTCAGAAACACTGATATGACTTCTCTCCAGTGTGAATCCTCTGGTGTGTGAAAAGACTTGACTTCTGAGTAAAAGCTTTATTCACTTTCAGAACACTGATATGGCTTCATCTCCAGTATGAACTGTTTGGTGTATTATAGGGCCCTTCTTGCTTGTAAACGTTTTGCCACATTCAGAAACAATGATATGGCTTCTCTCCCTTGCAAGCCTTTTGGTGTACGATATATTTTCCCTCCATTGTAAAATCTCCAACAAGTAGTTTGAAATTATCCGCTTATGTATACTTGGGTTGGACTTTATTGTAAAGCCATTGTCACTTCTAAAACATTGTAAATTACTTTTCTCTCCTGCTGGATCAAAGTGGAAGAGGATCCAAACCATGACTTTTAGAACACAGATATGACTTGTATCCCGTGTGTGACTCCTCCAGTGAACTGCAGTAAAGACTTTCAGTCAATTAAGACATCCATGTGTTTTATTTTCCATGTGACTCAGCTGTATTCATGAAGACCAACATGACCGAAAACTTGGTTCATCAATCTACCTGTAGAGAAAGAAAAAAGATAGAATTCTATATAAATGGCTACATAAAGTTGCTTTCTATTTTTAATGCTTATTACTAAATATATCTTATGAATAGAAAGAATATGTACAGCATTATCTACAGTATTTTTTTTAATCAAATAATTTTATTAATAAAGTTTATAAAGTGCGCACAGTATTCCCAACATTCAGCCCAGACAATGGAGTCATACATTCCTCACGGTATAGGCAGTTGTGGCACTGTTTACAGATCATACAGAACAATAACTTGCTTTGTCTATGGTGTCACTTTTACCTTTTATAAACAAATGAACAGAGAAAAGAAGAAACAACCTAGAATTTCAGCTGTACATGGCAAGTAACTCCCCCCCAGTACATAAATAGATAGCTGACACCAATCAATTAGCCTGTGTCCTACAGGGATCATACCCCAAGTATGGGTCTTGTTCTGCCCATATTGTTAATAATAATATATGTAATATACTGTAATGTGATGTTGCTGCCATATAGTGGTTAGAGGTTATGCCTAGTTATAGCAGGATTTATAGGAAGTGGTAATTTTCTCATACAGTAACCTTCAACCTGGGGAATGAAGTTCCTGTCCTCCATTTCATGACTGCTTCATGAAAACTAGCAAGTAGCATACAGTGATGAAGCTCCCAAGCTATTCCTGACTTATGGTGGAATTTGTGTCCATGAGTACACTCACTCGGTGGGATGAAGCTGTTGTATAATGTTTAATGTACTGACCCATATGTCTTGTTTGTTCTTATGTTGTAGCTTTACAAAGTTATTCAGAACAAAGAATACATACAGATCTGATGTATCACCTTTCTTTGAATTCTGAATTATTGTTAGACTGTCTGACTAGTGTTATACAACAGTTCATAACACGAAGCAGAACAGGTCTCTAATGTAGTTACCATTCATTAGGATACAACCTGGCTGTTCTCCTTCTATGGGGCTAAAAGAGCTAAGATTTTAAAAAGCCTATGAAGAACTAACTAGGAGAGAGCAAGGCGTATCCAGACAGTTCTGGCCAGAGAGACATAACATCTCCTGGGGAATTACAATGTTTGTAAGTTTTCATTTTCACATGTTTATGTGGAGATCACCTGCTCAATCCACTGGTGTCTGCAGGGACGTTTGAGTTGGAAGCCAAGATCGGGAATATTTTTTATGGTCAAGCAGCCTCACTATGTTTACTATTGCTATATGACTTGTAATAGGGAGGAGGTGTAAATAATTCCTCCTCTATTGAGACCAAGAGGCCACACCCGAGGAATATTGAACACCAGCATTATAATACTGGTCATATCGTATCCACTATTTTGAATAATTTTGGACATCTCCAAAACGTGTATCAAATCCTCGACATCCACCACTACAATTAGGGTCATAAGGGGAAATCCCTCCTGTCCTAGCTGAACAATTGAGCTGGTGTCCTGAAAGATCATATGCAAAAGAAATGACTGAGTTTCTGTGAAGAGGACAGAGAGATGAGAGGTATGGAGGGTCACAATCAACTCCCATCCCACTCTCTCTTATTTTCTCTGTTTCCTATTTCTTTCTATAAGTCTTTGGCAAGAGTCAAAAGACTGGAATAAATATGAGAGATCATGCCTTTCCCACTGGTGTCAATCTTGAAGCCCATTAATAAGTGGTGAGAGTGATGTGAAATCTGTATCTATTGGAAGTAGCAATCGATGGATGGGATCTAATAGTGTCTACTAAGTCCCACCTGGTAAGATGTTGAAGTTGGGCAGCTAAATAAATAAAGTCTAGCATTTGGTATTGCTAGGCGCTCCTTGGTCTTCACCATACTGTAGAGTAGTGAGTTTGATTCTAAGCTGACGGCTTCTTCTAAATGAGTTCTCCAAACTGGAAGTTCCTCTACTGGAGAACCACTTACGAGGTGTCCACATGGGAGAATTGTGGAGTATACAGTTGAAACTCGAAAAAATTAGAATATGATGTAAAAGTTAATTTTATTTCAGTGCAGCAACTTAAAAAGGTGGAAACTAATATATGAGACTCATTCCATGCAAAGCAAGATAGTTCAAGCCCGTGATTTGTCATCAGTGTGATGATTATGGCTTACAGCTCATGAAAACCCCAAATCCACAATCTCAGAAATCGAGAATATTCCATGCAATCAATAAAACACGGATTGTACATAGAACAAAACCGCACCTCTGAAAAGTAGAAAGGCATGCAATATGTACTCAGTACTTGGTTTAGGGCCCTTTTGAAGCAATTACTGCCTCAATGCGGCGTGGCATGGAAGCTATCAGCCTGTAGCACTGCTGAGGTGTTATGGAAACCAGGATGCTTCAATAGCGGCTTTCAGCTCTTCTGCCATTGTTCACGCGGTCTCATGTCTCTCATCTTTCACCCTGGCAATGCCCCATAGATTCTCTATGGTGTTCAGGTCAGGCGAGTTTGCCTGGCCAATCAAGCACAGTAATCCCACGGTCCTTGAACCAGGTTTTGGTGCTTTTGACAGTGTGGGTAGGTGCAAAGTCCTGCTGGAAAATGAAGTCCATGGGCGTGAATCCCCATAAAGCTTGTCTGTGGAAGAAAGCATGAAGTGCTCCAAAATCTCCTGGCAGACGGCTGCATTGACCACTGGACTTAATGAAGCACGGCCAACACCAGCAGATGACATGGCTCCCCAAATCAACACAGACTGTGGAAACTTCACACTGGACTTCAAACATCTTGCAGTGTTGTGCCTCTCCATTCTTCCTCCATACTCTGGGGTCCTTGGGCCTCTCCATTCTTCCTCTATACTCGGGGTCATTGGGCCTCTCCATTCTTCCTCCATACTCAGGGGTCCTTGGGCCTCTCCATTCTTCCTCCATACTCTGGGTCCTTGTGCCTCTCCAGTACTTCCTCCACCTTACTCGGGTCCTTGGGCCTCTCCATTCTTCCTCCATACTCGGGGTCCTTGGGCCTCTCCATTCTTCCTCCATACCTCGGGGTCCTTGGGCCTCTCCATTCTTCCTCCATACTCGGGGTCCTTGGGCCTCTCCATTCTTCCTCCATACTCAGGGTCCTTGGGCCTCTCCATTCTTCCTCCATACTTGGGGTCCTTGGTTTCCAAATGAGATGCAAAAGTTGCTCTCATCAGAAATGAGGACTTTGGACCACTGAGCAATCAGACCAGGTCTGTTTTTCTTTAGCCCAGGTAAGACGGGGTTCTCGGATGTTTTGTTGTTCAGGAGTGGCCCTGACAAGAGGAATACGACATTTGAAGCCCATGTCCAGGATCCGTCTGTGTGTGGTGGCTCTTGATGCACTGACTCCAGCCTCCAGTCTCCACTCCTTGTGAAAGTCCCCAACAATTTTGAATGGCCGTTTCCTGACAATCCTCTCCAGGCTGCGGTCATCCCTGTTGCTTTGTGCACCTTTTTCTTCCACACTTTTCCCTTCCACATAACTTTCTGTTAATGTGCTTGTGATACAGCACTTTGGGAACATCAAACTTCTTCTGCAATTACCTTTTGAGGCTTTCCTTCTATACTTCTGGAGGGTGTCAGTGATGGTGTCAGGTCAGCAGTCTTTCCCATGATTGTGATTTATACTGAACCAGACTGAGAGACTATTTTAAAGGCTCAGGGAACCCTTTGCAGGTGTTATGGCTGAATGAGCTGATTAGTGTGGGACACTTTGAGCCGAGAATATTCCACCTTTTCACAATATTCTCATTTTTCTGAGATTGTGGATTTGGGGGTTTTCATGAGCTGTAAGCCATAATCATCACAATGATGACAAATCACGGCTTGAACTATCTTGCTTTGCATGGAATGAGTCTATCTCCTATATTAGTTTAATCACCTTTTAAGTTGCTGCAACTGAAATAAATGAACTTTTTTGCACCAGATTCTCATTTTTGAGTTTCACCTGTTTAGGAGGAATTGTGGGGTCCATATCTTCTTCTTGTTCATAGATTTTATTGGAAAGAGATAATAGTTTTACAAGGATCTCATAACAATGTGGATTGCAGGACTCACCAACAGTAAGTCAGAAGGGGTACACAAACCCTTAGAGGAGGTAAACGTACAGGTTGTAATTTGTACAGTACAAATAATATCTTCATACATTAAAGTGGAGTTCCAGTGAAAATAAAAAAAAAAAAAGTCAGCAGCTACAAAAACTGTAGCTGCTGACTTTTTAAAAGACAAGCACTTATCTGTCCCTCGATCTCGTGGTGTCCTCACTGCTGGGCACTGAACTGGAAGCACTGCTGGGTGTCACTGGTGGGCTCTGACTGGCAGAACTGCTGGGCAAAGGTGGGTGTCACTGCTGGGCACTTGTGGGCAGAACTGGTGGGTGGCGCTGCTGGGCACCGATCCTCAGGGCACTGATCATCAGTGCCCTGATGATTGGTGCCGATCCCTCCTCTGACAACTGCCGGCAGTACTTTCCTCCTCATGCTCTGACAGCGTGAGGAAAGTGCAGTCAAGAAACCGGCAATTGCATTTCCTGATGACCAGCGTGTCATAGGACACAGCAATCACGGAGATCGCCGGGGC